TCCTTACATTGGTGGTCAGTTGTTAGAATTGCCCTTACATTGCTGATCAGTGGGAAGAATGACCCTTACAATGGTGGTCAGTGGTTAGAATTGCCCCCTTACATTGGTGATCAGTGAGAAGAATACCCCTTACATTGCTGGCCAGTGGAAAGAATGCCCTTTTCATTGATGATCAGTGGGAGGAAGGATGACCCATACATTGGTGGTTAGTGGAAAGAATGACCCATACATTGGTGGTCATTGGGAAGAGTGCCCCTTGCATTGATGATCTGTGGGAAGAATTAGCCTTACATTGGTTGTCAGTGGAAAAATTACCCTTACATTGATGATCAGTGGGAAGAATTACTGTTACAATGGTGTTCAGTTGGAAGAACTGCCCTTACATTGGTAGTTATTGGGAAGAATGTCTGTTACATTGGTGATCAGTGAGAAGAATACCCCTTACATTGGTGGTCAGTGGGAAAAATGCCTCTTTCATTGATGATCAGTGGGAAGAATGCCCCTTACATTGGTGATCAGTGGGAAGAGAAGAATACCCCGCATTTTACATTGGTGATCAGTGAGAAGAATACCCCCTTGCATTGGTGGTCAGTGGGATCAGTGAGAATGCCCCTTTCATTGATGATCAGTGGGAAGAATGACCCATACATTGGTGGTTAGTGGAAAGAATGCCCCCATTGATGATCAGTGCGAAGAATTGGTGGCTAGTGAAAATAATGAACCATACCATACATTGAATGTGGTGGTCATGGAAAGAATGCCCCTTTCATTGATGATCAGTGGGAAGAATGCCCCTTACATTGGTGGTTAGTGGAAGAATGCCCTTACACTCGCAGAATTTCTCCTTTGGGGCAGAAATCCCCCATAAAGCTGTGCGAAACTCGCTTACCACGACTGCAGCCAAACTACACGATTCCTGCCCATCCAAATACTTTGGTTCTGTTGAATTTGTGGGTGATTGGAGCTCCGTTACCCTAGAATGATCACACGACACTCTAAGGCTGGTTGCAATCCACATAAGGGGCCGGCTTTAGGCTCAGCTCTCTGTTTTATTAAGAATACACACATGCCCCCCACATGAATAAAGTCAATCCCTCCCACCGAACAATACAATGGGGATTGCCTATACAGAGGATGTACATTCCAATTGGAGCATAGCCTTTGCTATTATCTATCACTGGTCCTCCCCCATGAGTCTTCTGAGTCAGCAGACTTCCTCCCCTTCCCCCCTATGAGCCATCTGAGGTCATATTTCCTGTCCTACTAGCTTCTATTGGTATGCAAAATTCTCTGCACAAGCATCTCCCTAAAAATATCAGTCTGTACCTGGATGGGCCCGAACGATCTTTATTAAAACACATCCATCCCAGATACAGTTCAGATTAGTAATGGGTTGTAAGATATGCACAAGCCTACACGTGGAGTTCACACCGCTTGCGCCTTGCGTTATGAAGCCCACGTGGTACCATGCTGCTGATATGTGGATACAGGCCCACGGTCTACTGACAGCAGCATTCGCATGGAATGCCGTGGTGGTATACACGCCGGTCTATAAGCGCAGATCTGCCATCTCATCCATTACCAAGCTGAGTACTGTAATACATACATTGTACATGCGCATGGCCCAATTGCAGCCTTCAGAGCTTTAATTAAGCCACACGAGAGACATATGAATAACACGAATATATGACACATTTAAAGTTCGACCAACAATACAAAATTTCCATGACAGAATGACCCACACATTGGTGGTTAGTGGAAAGAATGACCCATACATTGGTGTTCATTGGGAAGAATGCCCCTTACTTTGGTGATCAGTGGAAAGAATGCCCCTTACACTAGTTGTCAGTGGAAAAATTCCCCTTACATTGATGATCAGTGGGAAGAATTCCCCATACATTGGTGGTCAGTGGAAAAATGACCCTTACATTGGTTGTCAGTGAGAAGAATTACCATTACAATGGTTTTCAGTGGGAAGAATTGCCCTCACATTGGTGGTCATTGGGAAGAATGCCCCTTCAGGGACAGGCAGGAGATCAGTCCACCACTTCTCACTACTGAAGAGTTGTATGTTAATCTGGTGAATGGATGGGTTTCTTCTCAAAAACATACCAAGAGGTTGATTGGCTCATAACCACAGAAAAGGGCTGAATACTGAGATAGAATCTAGGCCCTGTATGATAAAAAGTAGTACTAAAACATCAAAATTTCAGGTGTGGGGTATATGTACAGCACATTCTCTTATCTGCATTAAGTTTGTATATTTTTTTTCCATGTTTGACTGCTCTATTTCCTTCCTCAGTACAGAAACATTTACAATAGCTAATAGTTTAGGAGTTCTGCCTAAACTTTGCCCAAAATACATCTTTGACTTTTTCTAGGAACATTCAATTCAAAGCAGAGATTGATATTATACAAAGTGTCAGGATTCTAAAAAACAGGAAATAAATCATGATAAAGTCTGACATTCATTTCATGCTTGTCTATAACTGAAAGTATAACTTTCACTTACTCTCCTATTCTTGTCCCTTTAGAAAGGACGGTGTCTACAGCTCTCCGCAAAATCCGCCATCAGATCAGCGGCTCCAACGTCTCCGATGATCACAACACAAGAGTGAATATAGCTGATGGACTGTTTGTACAACGAGACCTTAATCTGACTCCAGGCTTCCTGAAAAGATTCCATGCTATCTTCCGGCGCCATGTGACCCAGATGAATTTTACAGATCCATTGCAAGCTAAGGACATCTTGAACCAATGGGTGGAGAACCAAACCAATGGTGAGAAGCCAGCTAAAGCCTAGGGTTCCGTATATTTAGGACATTTGATAATATGACTTATTTAGAGTGTTAGAGCTCATGTACACTGCAGCTGATAAACTCACGTTTAGAAGCTGTTCAGCGTTTTTTTTCAGCAGCCCCTGAACTCTCACTAATGTTTTCCTATGTATCCATGTACACATCGTCGTTTACAGGCATTTGAGTTTACAGTCGTTATTTTGAACGCACTGCTTATTTTGAAGCAGTCGATTTTATCAGCGTTTCAAATGCAAAAACGCGGCTAAACGCGGCAAATCGCGTTTAGAAGCGTTTGTGTTTGAAATTATTTTTTACCTCTTCCATTTACCGATGCTGTCCAGAGCCATGCAAAGCATTTTCAAGGTACTCAGATGGACAAAACACTGAACACAGGATGTTCCTGCCAAGCTTGTCACACATTGTAATGACCAATTCACACCTCAGACCTCTCCCACCCTTGGAAACAAAAGATATGTTACTGACCATTCACACCTCAAATTCCTCATGAAGACCCCCTGCCAGGTGGCTTTACTGACTCCCTCCACCAGACACCTTTCCCACCCTTGGAAACAAAACAAATGTTAATGACCATTCACACCTCAAATTCCTCATGCAGACCCCCTGCCAGGTGGCCTGAATGATTCCCTCCACCAGACACCTTTCCCACCCTTGGAAATAAAAGAAATGTTAATGAGCAACCAGGGGCGGACTGACAACTCATGGGGCCCCCGGGCAATAGGGGATCATGGAGCCCCTGTGTCCTTGCCCAAACTCAAAAAAGCCTATGAAAAAGGTCCGGGGCATCTCATGGGGCCCCCTACTGACCCCAGGCCCTCGGGCAGTGCCCAAGTTTCCAAATGGTCAGTCCCCCCTGTGAGCAACTCACACTTAAGCTAATCTCAACACATACTGCTGTCTCTGCTTCTACTCTCTGTATTATTCTGAAACAGTCTGAAATAGTTAATAATTTACCACTTTTCAGTGCATTCTGGGCATTTGGGAGGTTCTCCTGTGTTTATCTTTAAAAAATTCTTCTAAACGCGCATAAATGCATTATGCAAACATTGATAAACAGACTTTTGTTTACCTACGTTTTCTAGCAGTCAGTTTCCATCATTCAGAAATGTCCCATGTACATGGGGCCTTATTCAAGCCTATAGGATGTGGCATTCACCATAATGCCATCCAAGTCAAACTGACTATGTTGTTTTGTACCTGCAATGAAATCTTGGATGAATGTCAAACCGTGGACCCATTTGTGGGTTTTGTCTGCAGTCTTAAAGCAAATCTGTGCTTTACCTATTTCGGGCTCAGTAACAGGTTTGCTTTAACTCCATGCCCCCCCTATATAAATATACGCTTCCTTTGCATCCACAACAATCAGTTCAGTGCAGGGAGCCAATGCAATCAACTGGTACAGCCATACAGTATATGGAGGAGCATGTTCCATGTGACGTTATATCAAACATTGCTTTAAAATAGGGAGTCCTTAGCCCTGTGTGAGCTGTGACTTCAGCAACTCATAGCTTACCTAGGATTTTCCTTTCACTCACAGCACCTGAACAGAGCGGCAAAGGACAGATCTTGAGCATAAACCTCATTAGCAAAGCAGAGAGTCATTTTACTGACTTTTTTTTAAAGGTACAAGCTTCAGGGTTCTCATCCCTATCCTTCACTAAAGGGGTGTCAATGACCTGACACAATCGTGCATACCAGGTGACTCTCAAAGAACAGTAATTAATCAAAGTGTTGGCATAGAGTGATATATTTATAGTGTCAGGTTATTTCACATTGCCCAAATGGTGGAGAACAAATAGAGCAAAGCCAACCGGACTTCAGCAGCATCTTTCCAAGGCAATGGCTAATGGTTTCTTGGGTCTCGTCTTACCTCCACTGAATGATATACATTACAAGATGCCAGATAGGACATTTCAATACCTTTGAAAGTAACAGAAGATTCAATTATAACCTTGGTATTTTAGGTTTGCCTAGTTTATTATTTCTTCACACTGACCACCATTTGCTTATATTGTAGGAATGATCAAGGACTTATTGGGAAGCAATTCCATTCCTCCACTGACCCGACTGGTCCTACTCAGTGCTGTCAGTTTCTGCGGAAAATGGGTCCTCCCATTCCCAGAGAAGGCCACCCACAGTAGGCCATTCTACCGTTCTGATGGATCTGAGGTCCAAACCAAAATGATGGCCAATACTGGCAAGTACAACTGCAGTAAGTATTCTCCACCAGTAAATTTCCATTGAAATGCATTACAGTAGCTATTACCAGGCAGGGACCAATTAAACAGTATAATAAATTCTCCTTTCCCTTAGGTGAGTTTGAAACTCCAGATGGAGATTATTATGATGTCATTGAGCTGCCGTATGAAGGGGGAGAGCTCAGCATGTTGATAGCTGCACCTTATGAGAAACATGTACCACTGTCCGCCATCACAAACATCCTGACTTCAGAGCTCATCAACCAGTGGAAAGCCAATATGAAGAAATCAACTCGTCTCCTCGTTTTGCCCAAGTAAGGATTATCCTATGTCTTTTCACAATTTGATCCAAAGGGAATCTTTATTTAAAAATATATATTTAGTGCAGCGGAGCTCAAACTTCAGAAGGGTCTTCAAAAAGGTCACAGAAGGGGACATTCCAAAATCTCAACATGGCCATGACATGTTGAACTCAATTTTGTAGCCACTCTATTTGTGTCACCAAGCTAGCAGGGCACACTGGGGAACACAACCATGTTCTGTTCTACCTACAGCTCAGGAATCGATTTTTTTTAGAGATGTTCTTTACAAATAGAACTTCAAGTTTAATTTCCATGTAAACTGGACCCAGTGCAGTTTCAGGGGGAAGAAAACAACATTTTTTATGTGAAAAAAACATTTGTTCTTAACGAGGCCCCCGTGCCTCAAATCGTCATATATCCATAAAAAACTGGATGGTCAATTCACCCAAAATTGACATTTTAGCCCAACTAGGTGAAAAGATCGATTTTCTTTGTCCCCTCAGAGACCCCCGGTCTGTGGAGAGATTCCTGGTTTATCAGCAGAATTCTGGGAACACCTTATGAACACAGAATAACTTTTCTTGGTATAAACTGTTTTTGCTAGCTTTATGAGAATTAGCCGTATGAAGAAAATGTCAAGGTTATCTTATCATTGTTTATACTTTCTGGTGCAAGTTAAAACAGTTTCATTAAACTTTTAATATATCTGCAAACACCTAACTTAATACTTAAAATGGCGTACATCAACAAAATGGAGGTTATCTAGATCCTTTCACTAGGAGAGCAGGACCCCTCATAATGGCCAAAGCTGGTGTGAAGACTTGGTCCTCAAGAGGCAGAAACCGTATGGTAGTTCCACTCTGCAGCATCTACCAAACAATTAAACGTCTATGTCCCTTTAGTCAGTTATGACCCACATCCTCTCCCAACATGTCATGGCTGTCATTGAAGGGGATGGGCACAGATGTACCTTAGATTGTACGCCCCTTGAGGGTTAGGGACTGATGTGAATGTACAATATATATATGTAAAGCACTGCATAAAATTGACGGCGCTTTATAAGTACCTGAAATAAATAATAAATAAATGTAACCCACAGTCCACTGGTGCCCAATACACAATGGGTGTCTGAACTGGGAGACCAACTAATCTGCATATTAACACCCCTATAATCTTTTTTTAAAAAATGAAACAGGATTATCAGTAGACTGTATAGGGAGATCAGTACACAACTCTGCTATTCGAAATGACAGATTAGACCAGAGATCTTGAAAGTAAACCTATACTGAGAAACTAAAGAGGGGTCACTGCAGATGTTTCCTTTCGTAAATGCTAATTACCTGGTTAAAAGTAGATCAGAAGCTTTAAATTCACTCTAACATTTTAATCTGCATTCTTGAGCTGGGTTCATAAGTGCTGAAGACAGAGGCAGCCTACAATTAGTATTTAAGTAGATCTGCAATGGAAGTCTTGTATTTCTCTCCAGCGCCTTCTGAACACAATATTAATAATCTCTCTTGTCCTCAGGTTTTCTTTGGTCAGTGAGGTCAATCTGAAGACTCCTCTTGAGCGCCTCGGCATTGAAGACATGTTCTCAGAGGAAAAAGCCGACTTTAGCCGCTTATCAAGTAAGTAATCGGCAAAATGACTTAACGGGGAAGAACGGAGCAGAGCTGGCTTTTTAGCAGGGTTGGGTTACGCATTTCCTTCATTTTCTAATAGAACAATCTGATTTTTTTCACCTAAAGATGAAAGGCCACTGTATGTGTCAGAAGCATTCCAGAAAATCAAAGTTGAAGTGACGGAAAGTGGAACGAGAGCTTCAGCTGCTACAGGTAAGAGGTCAAGTCTTTACTAGTATCAGATGAGGCCATGGTCTTCATTAGAGTTACCAGCTAATATGAAGGCTTATCTGACTGAATATAAATTGAATAGAATGTTTAGACAGGCTCTCATTGTAGGAAGATTTTAAGGAAATTGTACATTCCAATTGAGAGCCATCTTCATCCCACCAGTATTTTTTAAATGGTCCTGATTCTCAGCCTATGAGAATGCAGTTGTAGTGTTCCCCGCACTGCCTCTGTATGCCCACAGAGAGAAACTGCAGATATTCATAAAACAAAATTCTTTAATTACATAAAGCATACTGGAATTTAACAAGATATGCGTTGGTGGAGCACTGTACCCCAGGATAGGAAGATATCAGAGTGAGTGTCCACCTCTATCAATTAGGGTGTCCTACAGGAGTGGTTGTCGACCTTATTGAGACCAATGTCCAAAAAATACTTCCAAAACCTTTCATGCCCCAACAGTAATACTAAAAAAAAGTTTATACTTGCACAATAAACATATGGGAACACAAAATATGTATAGAAATTCTGGAATGCTCTGGATTTGGCTGGGTGTCACTATGGGGGATGGAGGTTCTGAAGAGGGTAAGGGGACTCTGCAACTGTACAGGATGGGTTTTATAGAGAGCTTGGGAGTCTCTCAAGGAAGTTAGGGGTTTTGCAGGGGCTATATGGGAGACAGGAATGCACTGCAGGGGCTGGGTGACACTGTGGGAGACTGTTGAGGGCAGGGGCAGACTGACCATTCGAGCACTCGGCACTGCCTGAGGGCCCCGGGTCAGTAGGGGGCCCCATGAAATGCCCCTGGTACCTTTTTATAGGTTTTTTTTTGGTGTACTTTGAGTGTGGGCAAGGACACAGGGGCCCCATGATACCCTATTGCCCGGGGGCCCCATGAGTTGTCAGTCCGCCCCTGGTTGAGGGCACTATAAACAGCTGAAGGTTCTTCAGGCAGGGGACTGGGAGGCACTATGGTAAGTTGACATGAAATGGGGTGACTCTTAGGGCCCTGAGAACACTGTGAGGGGTTGAGGGCCACTATAAGAGGTTGGGTGGCACTATGGGAGCTGGAAAGCACTGTGGGAAGTTAGGGGATCTGCAGCTATCTGGGGGGGGGGGGGGAGCAGCCTGGCAATGGCCCGATGGCTGAGAATACTGTCCTAGAGGGTCCCTGGAATAGTCCAGAGTACATTCAAAGAATGAGAGCACCACAAAAACTTAAATGAGTCTTGTAGAATATTATATTTCACCACAAGAGGTCAAAAAGCCGACACGTTTCGTGGTCCCAAAACACCCTTCATCAGGGCTTGAATGCTGGCTGCAAATTTACGACCATACTGGACTATAGTTGCAAAGTCAACAGATCAATGTGACTAAGTAAATATAGATCCTCAGTGCAAAAGCGAGTGAAAAGCAGCAGGATTAAAACAGTGCAATATAAATCTGCAGGAAGACCTTCACAAACCAGCAGATACAGCACAAAATGTCATTATATTTGCCTTAGTAGGGCTGTGCAGATACATTTAACAATATGCCAATTTTTCCACAGCTGCCATTCTAATGGCTCGTATGGCTCCTCTTGAAGTCATCATGGACCATCCTTTCTTGTTCCTCATTCGACATAACCCAACAGGTAAGGCATGTTCGAATGCCCATAATAGTGTAAGCTGTATGTGTTACAACTACAGCAGTCCTCTCATTTAAAGCTGAACTCCAGGCAAATAGCTAAATACTTGTATAAAATACATATGCTGGGGCTGCTTTACCTGCCAAGTTATTTGTATTTCTGTCCAACCAGTTCTAAGATTTACATAGCTCTACCATGTCTGGCAGGACACGGGACCTGATTTTTATCTGCTGTCATTAAGTAAAGCTTACAGGTCTTGTTCCTCCCTCGGTCTATGGCTGGACGGTGAAGGGAGAAGCAGTAGACTGATCAGATTATCTCTCTACTCTCTCCTATTAACCTTTTTCTTGTTAACACATGGAGCGCAGCATGGGCTCCTTGTGTTTCTTCTCCCTTCCCCAGTCTGAGCTCTGCTGTACAAAGGATTACAAGAGGCTTGTACTAAGCCAAATGCAGGTACCTACACTGCTTGCTTTAAAAAAAATCATTTTATGATTTATTAATGAATACAGAGCTGCGTTAATTTCTGTCTTTTACATCTGCCTGGTGTTCAGCTTTAAAGGGTCCATACTCCCGAGGTGACATTTCAGATGTAGGTAGCGTTGGTTATAGGTTTTCAAATCTCTTGGCAACTTTGGTAGTGAGATCTCACATGTTGGGCTTCAAAATGTGGAATTGTGCATGTTTTTTAAAGTTACCTGAATGCCAGTCAAAGCTTAGTCACTAAATAAAATGGTTACCTTACAGTCCTGTTTACACTGTTGTGTATGCTTTGCTTCAAAAATTCAGGGCCCCTCCTCTACGGGGCCCAAGCAGCTGGGTGAATCGGTTGTGCGCAAGGAGGGTGATCGATATGGCGTAGGGGGGCAATTACTGTAACCAATCCCCTGTGTGGTTCTCTCTGCAGCAGCTGAAAGCTGGCTTCTTATCCTCTCCCTCCCACTGGTTTTCTGCTGCAGCAGAGAGAGCCATACAGGGGACCGGTTCCAGTAATTGCCCCCTCTGCACATATCACCATCCCTGTGCATCATAGGTTTCCTCCTTCCCCCCTGTGTGCCCGCAGAGTAGGGGAAGGAATGGTCTGGTAAATATGTCACATTTACCAGCCCCTTCCTTTCCTGAATGAACACAATGACTGATTGATACCGATCACTCACCGTGTTCCTTCATAACTGAAGCATAGAAAACTGTGTTTTTTGAGGGGGCTGTCAGGTTGATTGTATGGGGCCCCATGGTTTCTAACAACAGCCCTGCACAAATCATACCTTATTTTGCTTTATTGGTGCTTCAAAGCGTCTCCAATGCCTCAACAGACATCTATCACAATGCTCACTAACAGGACCTGCAGCATTTGAGGAGCTTTTATTCAGAGTTAGCTTTGCTTTGTTTTGGAGGTATTGGAGTAAGGTGAGTGGGAACCAGAGAAAAAGGACTAAGCGGCAGAGGATCAGCAGAGCTGGGGGACTTATAGCAGGAGAAATTGGCAATGTCACACGTGGTGCACAGCATGGGAGCGGCTATTGGAGAAAGAGGAGGATCAGCAGAGGTGGGGGTTACTATTGAGTGGAGGATCAGCAGAGCTGGGGGCTATTACTGAGCAGGAGATCAGCAGACCTGGGGGTACTACTGAGCAGGGTACCAGCAGATCTGGGGGTTACTACTGAGTGGGGGATCAGTAAAGTTTGGGGTTACTACTGAGAAGGGATCAGCAGAGCTGGGGGTTACTACTGAGCAGGGAATCAGCAGAGCTGGGGGTTACTACTGAGTGAGGGATCATCAGAGATGGTGGTTACTACTAAGCAGGGGATCAGCAGAGATGGGGGTTACTACTGAGCGGGGGATCAGCAAAGCTGGGGGTTACTTCTGAGCAGGGGATCAACAGAACTCGGGGTTACTACTGAGTGGAGGACCAGCAGAGCTGGGATTACTACTGAGTGGGGGGACCAGAAGGGCTGGGGGTTATTACTAAGCCAGGGATCATCTGACCTGGGGGTACTACTGAACAGGGGATCAGCAGATCTGGGGGTTACTACTGAGCAGGGGATAAGCAGAGCTGGGGGTTACTACTGAGTGGGAGATCATAAAAGCTGGGGATTACTACTCAGAGGGGGATCAGCAGAACCGGGGGTTACTACTGAGCAGGGGATCAGCAGGGCTGGGGGTTACTACTGAGCAGGGGATCAGCAGAGCTGGGGATTACTACTGAGTGGGAGATCAGAAAAGCTGGGGGTTACTACTGAGAGGGGGTTCAGCAGAACTGGGGGTTACTACTGAGTGGGGGATCAGCAGAGATGGGGGATACTACTGAGTGGGGGATCATCAGAGATGGGGGTTACTACTGAGTGGGGGAGCATCAGAGATGAGGGTTACTACTGAGCAGGGGATCAGCAGAGATGGGGGATACTACTGAGCCAGGGATCAGCAAAGCTGGGGGTTACTACTGAGTAGGGGATCAACAGAACTTGGAGTTACTACTGAGTGGAGGATCAGCAAAGCTGGAATTACTATTGAGCAGGGGATCAGCAGAGCTGGGGGTTATTACTGAGCAGGGGATCAGCAGAGTTGGGGTTACTGCTGAGCGAGGGATCAGAAAAGCTGGGGGTTACTACTGAGCTGAACGAGGGTACTAATAAGCTGGGGATCTGCTGAGTAAGGGAACCATCACGCCGGGGTTCTACTGAGCCCCTTTAAAACACATATGAGAAAATCACCACTCACAGGGCATTTGCTGAGCTTCATTAAAGCTTAAAAAAGCATCACAGAGGCATCAAAAACACATTAAAAAAAGCATATCAAAGCAGTAGGTGCTTTGTTGCGTGTTAAAGTCGAAGCAAGTGTGAACAAGCCCTGAGTGTTCTAAGTTAGCATTGGATCTTCCAGCCACAGATCTGAACTGGCAGTCATAGTACACTACAAGAGAAAAATGTAGCGATTTAATGTATTAATTATAAAATGATTGTAGTGATGTAGTGGACGTAATATATACCTTTGTATCAGGGGCGGACTGACCATTTGGAAATTCGGGTACTGCCCGAGGGCCCGGGGTCAGTAGGGGGCCCCATGAGATGCCCCTGGTACCTTTTTCATAGGCTTTTTTGAGTTTGGGCAAGGACACAGGGGCCCCATGATCCCCTATTGCCTGGGGGCCCCATGAGTTGTCAGTCTGCCCCTGATTTGTACTTTATGCCCCGGCCTAGGACCATATACTGACACACAACGTCTCTTGTTCTTTCTCCTAGGTATGCTGCTGTTCATAGGACAAGTCATGGAGCCATGAGTCTATCGCCATCTAGTGATAATATTCAGTACCTCACCTCCTTCACCTTTTGATCAGCAATTGTGAAAAGTCACTACGGCTGAGAAGCTTTGATTCCGGAGAAGCTTGAAGGACTACTAAGGGGGGGGAATGGGGGGCCACGGGTAGTGTGAATGCGTGATATGCAGTATGAGAGCGCTGTATGGAGTGTGTGAGCAGGTCGTGAGCTATTCGCACAAAAAAAAAGATTATATTGCTAATGAGATTTATATTTCGGAGTATGAAATTTTTTATACTGTTTGTATATTTAATAAATCTATTTATTTATATTTTACTCTGGCCTGTATGTAATTTATATGATAACCAATGGAAAGAATACATTTTTGATAAACGTTTGCACAACTACCATGAAAGTTATAAACTCCACATTGTGACCAGAGGGGTCTGGGGTAGGGGCGGACTGACCATTTGGAAACTCGGGCACTGCCCGAGGGCCCTGGGTCTGTAGGGGGCCCCATGAGATGCCCCTGGTACCTTTTTCATAGGCTTTTTTGAGTTTGAGCAAGGACACAGGGGCCCCATGATCCCCTATTGCCCGGGGGCCCCATGAGTTGTCAGTCCGCCCCTGGTCTGGGGTGGTACTGTAATATACATGAATAGGCCTTTAACGTGTATTTCCACTGCAGCCAAACTGGGATAACACCTCTTTTATGCAGTGCCTTGAAAAAGTCTTCATACCCCTTGAAATTTTCCACATGTTGTCATGTTACAACCAAAAACGGAAATGTATTTTATTGGGATTTGATGTGATAGACCAACACAAAGTGGCACATAATTGTGAATTGGAAGGAAAATGAGAAATGGTTTTAAACATTTGATCCAAATAAATCTGTGAAAAGTGTGGCAGCATTTGTATTCAGCCCCCGGAGTCAATACTTTGTAGGACCCCCTTTCGCTGCAATTCCAGCTGCAAGTCTTTTTGGGGATGATTCTACCAGCTTTGCACATCTAGAGAGGGACATTTCTGCCCATTCTTCTTTTCAGAATCGCTCAACCTCTGTCAGAATGGATGGAGAGCATCTGTGAACAGCAATTTTCAAGTCTTGCCACAGATTCTAAATTGGATTTAGGTCTGGACTGTGACTGGGCCATTCTAACACATGAAGATGCTTTGATCTAAACCATTCCATTGTAGCTCTGGCTGGATGTTTTGGGTCGTTGTCCTGCTGGAAGATGAACCTCCCCCCCGGTCTCAAGTCTTTTGCAGACTCTAACAGGTTTTCTTCTAAGATTTCCCTGTTTTTGGCTCCATCCATCTTCCCATCACCTCACTGCTTCCCTGTCCCTGCTAAGGAAAAGCATCCCCACAACATGATGCTGCCACCACCATGTTTCACGGTGGGGATGGTGTGTTCAGGGTGATGTGCAGTGTTAGTTTTCCGCTACACATAGCGTTTTGCTTTCAGGCCAAAAACTTCAATTTTGGCCTTATCTGAGCAGAGCACCTTCTTCCACATGTTTGTTGTGTCCCCCACATGGCTTCTGCAAACAGGACTTCTTATGGCTTTCTTTCTACAATGGCTTTCTGCTTGCCACTCTTCCATAAAGGCCAGATTTGTGAAGGGCACGACTAATAGTTGTCCTGTGGACAGATTCTCCCACCTGAGCTATGGATCTCTGCAGCTCCTCCAGAGTTCCCATGGGCCTCTTGGCTGCTTCTCTGATGAATGTTCTCCTTGCACGGCCTTTCAGTTAGGTGGATGGCCATGTCTTGGTAGGTTTGCAGTTGTGCCATACTTTTTCCATTTTCAGATGATGGATTGAACAGTGCTCTGTGAGATGTTCAAAGCTTGGGATATTTTTTATAAACTAACACTGCTTAAGGGCCAGTTCACACCACAAAAACGCACTCCAGATGCATTCCGGATACATTTTTGCTTACAGTTCACACCACACTCCATTCAGGTGCAGTTTTGATGCAGTTTGCTACGTTCCAGTACAGTTCTGTGCAGAAAAAACGCAGCATGTTCTACTTTTTTTCTGCACCAGAAACTGACTGCAACTGACTGCACTGGGCCATTGGAATACATGGAAAACACTGTTCATGCATTTTTGATGCAGAAAAAAAATGCATTGGACTGCATCTAATGTGAACTAGTCATTCAACTGCTCCACAACTTTATCCCTGACCTGTCAGGTGTGTTCCTTGGCCTTCAGGATGCTGTTTGTTCACTAATGTTCTCTAACAAACCTCTGAGGGCTTCACAGAACAGTTGTATTTATACTGAGATTAAATTACACACAGGTGGACTCTGTTTACTAATTAGGTCACTTCTGAAGGCAATTGGTTCCACTAGATTTTCTATATATATATATATATATATATATATATATATGTGTGTGTGTGTGTGTATGTATATGTGTATATATATATATATATATATATATATATATATATATATATGTGTGTGTGTGTGTGTATGTATATGTGTTTTATATATATATATATATATATATATATATATACACAGTGCTCTCAGCGTAAATGAATACACCCAAGCAGACTTCTCAGAAAACTTTTCCTTTCAGACTTTCAGAATCAACATTTTCTATGGGACACTATACTAAAAAATACTCCCACCAATGCGGGCCATTGATTGCAAACAAGATTTGTTAATTTGCACACACAAAAAAGGATTTTTCCTAACAAATTAATTCAAGACCATGTTGCAAAAACGAATACACGCCAATGAAAGTCTAAAGCAGGCCATACATGTGTCGAATTCCAAACGATTTTTCAAAAACATCGTTCGTTCTGTAATCCGATGGTGCCACCAATGATTTTTGAAAATCGTTAGTTTTTCACGAATTTTCCAGCATGTCCGATGAATGAAATGGGGAGAAACCACGAAAATCGTTTGGTGCCATTGGCTCACTAACAGATCGAAAATCGTCTGATTATTCTTAGGTCCGATTTTAGAACGAAAAATCATTTGGAATTCGACCCATGTATGGCCTACTGTAGGAGCAAAGCTAAATTTTAGACAACAGAATCCTAAGGAACAAGAATTCAACTACAAGTGATTCTAATTATTCATTAACCACTTGCCCTCCTGAGGATTTACCCCCCTTCCTGACCAGACCTTTTTTTGCTATTCGGCGCTGTACTATTTCAACTGGTAATTATGCAGTTATGCAATGCTGCACCCAAACAAAATTTACGTGATTTTTTTTCACACAAATAGAGCTTTGTTTTGGTGGTATTTGATCACCTGTTCGCTTTTTATTTTTTGCGCTATAAAAAAAAAAAGACTGAAAATTTTGAAAAAAAAAAACGATATCTGTTACTTTCGGCTATAAAAGATATATAGTAAACCCAAAGTTAGTCATAAATTTAGGCCAAAATGTATTCTGCTACATGTTTTTGGTAAAAAAAATCCCAATAAGTGTATGTTGTGTGAAAGTTATAGCATCTACAAACTATGGTATAGATACTGCAATTTACAAAGCTTTTACTTTGACTGCCCATCACATTTCATGAGGTGATAAAATACCAGGATAGTACAAACACCCCCAAATAATCCCTTTTCGGAAAGTTGACACCCTAAGCTATCTTCTGAGAGGCATATGGAGTCCATGGAAGATTTATTTTTTCCACAAGTTTTTGGAAAATGACAAAAACATTTTTATTTTTTTTTCACAAAGTTGTCACTTAAATGATATATTGCTCACACAAGCCATGGGTATATGTGGAATTACACCCCCAAATACATTCTGCTACTTCTACCGAATATGGGGATACCACATGTGTGAGTCTTTTTGGGAGCCTAGCCACATACAGGAGCCTGAAATCCAATGACCACTTTGAAAGCCTGAAGGTACGTAACTTCCTCATTTCACTTCCTCACTACCTAACACAGTTTCGGAGGCCCTGAAATGCCAGGATAGCACCAACCCCCCCCCCCCCCCCAAATGACCCTTTTTTGTAAAGTAGACACCCCAAGGAATTTGAAAAGAGGCATGGTGAGTATTTTGCAGATCTCATTTTTTCTCTCAAGTATTTGAAATATAAGAAAAGAAAAGAAAAAATATGTTTTTGTTTTCTTTCTTCATTTTCCAAAAACTTGTGGCAACAAACCAGATCTGCAAAATATGCACCATGCTTCTTATCAAATTCCTTGGGGTGTCTTCTTTCCAAAAAGGAGTCATTTGGGGGGGGGGGGGGGGGTTGGTGCTATCCTGGCATTCAGGGCCTCTGAAAATGTGATAGGTAGTCAGGAAGTGTAATGAGGAAATAAAGCCCTTTAAAAGCTTGAAGGTGCTTATTGGATTTTAGGGTCCTGTACTTGGCTAGACTGCCAAAAGTCTCTGACATGTGTTACCCCCATATTCGGGAGAAGTAGCAGAATGTATTTTAGGGAGTAATTCCATATATATCCATAAATCAGATAAGTTACAATTTTGTGTAAAAATTTTTTTTTGTCATTTTCTGAAAACTTGTGGTAAAAAATAAATTCTTCTATTGAATCAACATGCCTCTCAGCAAATAGTTTAGGTGTCTACTTTCCAAAAAGGGGTCATTTTGGGGGTGGGGGCATTTTATGCCCAGCATTAGACATTTATACCACAATCAGCCAATTATTTGGTAAAATATAAAAGATGATGGTATGCCAAGTATGTAGATACGAAACATGAAATGCTTTAAAACTGCGCATGCCCCGTGCAATGGCGACAAACGTCATATGTTTTTAATATCCATGGGCAACACTTTAAAAGCCTTTACAAGCTACCATTTTAGATATACAGAGGAGGTCTAATGCTAGAATTACTGCCCTTGATATGACGTTTGCGTTACCTCACATGCATGGTGCAACTGCTGTGTATATACTGGCACAGGGGCAACGCTCACATACCCAGTGTGCACACATGCGGGGGGGGGGGGGGGGGCGAGAGTGCTTTTTTTTTTTTACTTTATTTTGATTTATACTTCAATGGGCATTGTCATATATTCTTTTTTAAGA